AAAAAAGAAAAAAACAGATCACTTGATTCATCTACATAACACCACATGATCTCAGAAAAGTCCAATTTGTCCCAGGGAACAAAGTTCTATACAAGGTGTCCCCTGCCTCGCCCTCCAATAAGGGTGCAGCCCCTGCCTGCTCCTACACCTCCTGCCCTGTATTCACCTTACTTCTCTAGAGAACACACCAGCTGTTTGAGATAGGGACACACCAGTCCCATCCTGAAAAGTGTGTCTTTGTGCCTCCGTCATCCCCATCATGCTCCTCTCGCTGATCTGCACACAGCTCACTCCTGACATGTATATTTCAGCTTCTCAGAAGTTTTCCTTGACCATGCAATCTAAAGAGCCATGAGAGAGTCCCCATAACTCAGAATACTATCAGAATAGATTCATCTTGTCTGCCTGCTGTGAGAACCCAAGTTCCTCATTCAGGAGACTCACTGTCCTAACATGCACAGCCAAGATGCAACTGAGGCACTAACTGCTTTGTGGAGAAAGTACACAAGCACTGAAGGTGGCCCACATGCCAGGGTAACATTGTCACTGGGCCATTCCCTTTGTTGCCCATTAGAGTGCAGTGTATTTCCAATGGCTCCACATGGGTATATTTTGGGTTCTTATAAACAAATGAAGTTCTATTCCTTATCATCCATCTGCAACTTGTTTCTAGTTGCTCCAAGTGTCTGGCTTTCTTTAAATGATCATTTTTTCATTTGCCAAAACTAGAAAGTCAACCATGTCAACAGGCGCCCCCTGGTTTACTGAGCTAAGTTTACTTATTTCTTTGTGAACACTCAAATTTGAGATTGGGGAACCATTGAAATGTAAGCCTCAGCACATCACTGAAATCACATCAAATGTAATTCATCATTTTTACTCTTTTTGCACCAAGTTCTACAGAGCTAACAATTCTAGACAAGTACATTTTTCTTTTCTTTTTTTAAAGAGAGAGAATTATTTAATATTTATTTATTTATTTTGTAGTTTTTGGTAGACACAACATCTTTATTTTATTTTTATGTGGTACTGAGGATCAAACCCAGTGCCCTGTGCATGCCAGGCAAGCATGCTAATGTTTGAGCCACATCCCCATCCCAAGACAAGTAACATTTTTCTATCTAAAAAGTGACCATACTTTATTTTTATCCAATAGTCCATCTACATGTTGAAAACTATTCTAGCCACTTCTAAGGCTGACAGAGCGGCCCTGCTAGAGCTGTCTAATGATGCCACTTTGCTCCCTACATAGGCACTTGAACACATGGATAATAGATGAAGCAGCCTCAGTCCCCAAAGGGGACTATGTTCATACTGTATATCTAAGGTTCATAAATAAGACTTCAGAGAATTTGATTCTACTAAGGTTAAAAATTCTAAGGTTCAAATATATTTTATAAATAAAATTTCCTACCTGCTGGTAGAGGTCCACAATGCTGGTTTGGCTGCCATCTGTTTTTTTAAATGTATCTCTGGGAGTCTGATCCCAGTTGACAGCATCCACCCTGTAGGTTCTGTTGTTGTATCTGTGGTGTAATCCCAACATAAGAGGGTATTCCTGACTTAGTCATTGCATACAAAAGTATTTTTAATCCTCCAAGTAATTGTAGGATATGTCGATACTCAATTCACATACTGTACAACTCACCCATTTAAGTGGATTAGCCAATGGATTTCATTGCATCTGCAGAGGTGTACAATCAACAATCTTAGTATATTTCTACCTCCCAAGAAAGAGCATCATAACCATAAGCAAGCAGTCATTTCTACCCCAGTCTCCTAACCCTAAGTCAGCTAGACATCAACTTTCTACCTCCTAAGAGTTGCCTTCTCAAGGATCATGTGAATTGAACTATACATGTAATCTTTCCTGACTTTCACTTAGCTTTATGTTTTCAAGGTTAATTTGGGTGGTAGCAAGTGTTGGTAGCTGATTCCTTTCTATTACCAAGTAATGTCCTATTGTAACCAGAAGCAATGACCCATGTCTATAATCCCAGAGACTAGAAAGACTGAGTCAGGAGGATGGCAAGTTCCAGGCCAGCCTGAGCAACTTAGCAAGACCCTGTCACAAAAGAAAACAAAGGACTGGGACCTTAGCTCAGTGTTAGAGCACTTGCCTAGCATGGGTGAGGCCCTGCGTTTAGTCTCTAATATCAAAATCTTCTATACCTACAATGCATATGTATACACACAAATACACACATATTTTATGTTGGGTGGATATATCACATTTGTTTATATACCAGTTGATGGACCTTAGGGTTATTTATACTTTTGGTTATTATGAATAATATTATGGACCACTCAAGTACCAAATTTGGCAGACAAAAATTTCCATTACTTGGGGGTGGGGCTGTGGCTCAGTGGTAGAGTACTTGCCTAGCATGTGTGAGGCAAAGGATATAAATAGATAAAATAAAGGTCTCTCAACTAATAAAAATATTTTTAAAAAAATTTTTAGTTTTCAATTCTTTTAGGTATATAACTAAGAGTAGAATCTCTGGGTCATATGGTGTGCTAACTTTATTCTGACATTTCCTCAAATAATATTTTTCAAAAAACTATATTATTTTGTGTTTCTACTGCAATGTAGGAAGGTTGGTTCTACATTTCCCAAATTCTTACCAAGTTGTTAATATCTGGTTTTATTTTAGCTATCCTCGTGGATGTGAATAGTACCTTATTTTGAGTCTCACTGGCAGGTGATGTTGGGCATTTTTTTATGTGCTCACTGGCCAGAATATCTGCTTTGGAGGAAGGTCTCTAGAGAAAGGTCTACTCAGATGATGTGTCCATTTTTTGAACATTGGCTGTCTTTGTGTTGGGTTCTGTTCTTTATATATTCTGGATATATCTTCTTTTAAGACATGTTATTTGCACATATTTTGTCCTTGTGTGTCAGTTGTCTTTCCACTTTTTTGACAATATACTTTGAACAAAAGTTGTTAACTTGAAGTTCAATCTACACATATTGTTCTTTATCTCTGTGCTCTTGGTGTCCTATCCAAGAAGAGTTTGCCTAATATAGTCAAAATTTACTCCTATACCTTCAAAGAAAATTCCCCTTTTAGCTCTTACATACATATAGGTCTATTTTGAGTTAGTTCTTGATTTAAATTTGGGTAAACTTTGTTCATTGTGTGAGGGGTCAGGTGGATATCCAGTCACCCCAGCATATAACTGAGAAGACGTTTCCCCCTTGTTGAATTGTCTTGACATTCCTGTCAAACTAAGTAACTGCAAAGGTAAGGGCCAACTTCTGGACTCAGCTCTATTACAGTGGCCTGCAGGTCAATCTTTGTGCAGGTATTACCCTGCTCAATTATTGTCACTTTTTAATAAGGTTCACAGTTGGGAAATGTGAGTTCTCCAACTTTGTTCTTTGAAGATTGCTTTGGTAAAGTAATTGGTTATTCAAATCCACAGTCTTATCAAGTTAATACTACTTGTGTAGAATAAAAATTAAGATAAAATGTTCCAATAAAAAGTAGCCAATGCATTATACATAAGTTCTGATTTTAAAAATAACCTGTCATTCACCCAAAAAATAAAAAGAGAAAAGAAATGCAGGAAAAACATGCTGCTCTGGGCAAGATGACCCAATGAATGGGCATCAGGGACTGAGGGAGAGTAGAGTCTAGAGCCCCTCTACCAGGCTGTTTACCAGGTGAGAAGAGCAGCAAATAGTTTTTATGATGTATAGTTCACACTATTTCTAGTCTTAAACTGCAACCTTCAGTGATTCAAGAAATACAGGAACATCTTTTCTTTGGGCAGAAGCAGTAATCAAATTGATGATTGCATAATTTTAAAAACAAAAAATTAGACTTACTTTGTAAAAAAATTTAACCCGACTAATTCTTTGTCTACTTTCTCTTTGGTATTTCTTGCATTTTTTTCAAATATCTTCATTACAAAATCATAAGTAGTTTCCATTCAGAGTACTTCATAACTCAGGTTGGCACACAGAGTAAGGCTGTTTTCATACTGAAGACCTTCAAATAAAGATTACCTATAAGGAGCATATCACTTTGTTAACTGTCATTCCCAGACAGTCTTAATGCATCAGCCCTAATATATATACATATATGTAGATAGATAGATAGATATAGATATAGATATATGTAGATATATACATATGTACATGTATTATATATTTTATATTATACATATATACACATATATGCACATATCAACAAGTAATATAGATACATAAAATAAGTATAATTACTATTAAAATGTTTTTCAGAGAGAAAATTATTAATCAATTTTTAATTGATTTAGGCTTCCTACATTGTTTATTCAATAACTGAATACTGGGGTCCATCCCTAATATCAAAATCTTATATAAATACAATGTATATGTATACACACATATCCATACATATTTTCTTTTGGATGGACATATCCCATTTGTTTATCGGTATACCATTTGATAGACAGAAGCTTAATTGCTTTACAAGCAAAGGAAAAACCCAGGGGATTCTTGTCCCAGAGGCTGTGATTCTGCACATCAGGGGCAACAGAGGGTTTTTAAAGATGTGATTTCAGGTGTGTCCAGTCCTACTTCACTTGTTAATCTGGGATATAATCAATTTTAAATCTTCTGGTGCCATCCCCAACTCTGAATTTCTTCACTCCTGTGGTGGGTGTGTGCTCAAGGACAGATAACTGAATGGGGACAAAAAGTAATCCTGTTTCCCCCCAGGTTAGGGACAGGGAAAGGGGGATTTAAAAAAAAAAAAACATCAATCTTAAAATAAGCCTCAGTGGCAGAGCATCATGCTGGGGTTTTTCAGGTTAATTTTTTCAATTTAATTTATACTTAACTGAACATTAGTTGTTCATGGTGGGTGGGTGGTATTATTTAAAAGGGCATCGCTTTTATACCAGTTCAAATAGAACAACTTTCTAAAAATAATATATTAAATCTGTAGAACACTATATATTTTCCACTTTATACAAGTTTAAAATTGTTGAAATCACTTTGATTCCTGTCCCTGGGACCAATTTGTTTTGAATTCATCTGCTTCAGAGTTCTAGAAATTGTGGAATCAACTGAAAGAACTATTTGTCTCAGAGTTGGGGAATTGACCACCTGGCGGGATAAGGAGGTGTTCAGTGGTGGAAATGTGTGAGAGACACTCCTGAGTGAAGGAGCAGTCTGAGCCAAAGTCCAGAGGGGAATAAGCAGGGTCTGTGGGAACTGGCATGCCCAGGGCTGAAAGGTGTGTGATGGATGGGGAGGGAGATGGAGCTGGAAAGAGAAGCAGGATCACATAGCGGGGAGCTCCCATAGGGCCTGATGATGCCCAAAAAACGTTTATTGAAGAAACAAAACAGAGATGGTAGGAGCCAAAGGAGGAGGTTTGGACCACATGGTTCTTCTGAGCCCTTTTGTTCCCTGACAACTAGGTAAGACACTTCTTAAGGGTAGGGCTGTCCAATGCTCACTGTCCTCCCTGCCCCACTCCCCACTGGAAAATAGCTCCCTAACAACTGAAAACACAAGTAGAACCTCCTGAGGGTGTAAGGACCCTTTCCTGGGGGCTGTCCTGTGAGTTTACCACACAAAGTTGGGTACAGACAATTCTATGGTGGACCAGTCTTTCATGGAAGACAACATGCTCATGAGATGTCACAAGATGGAGTCCCTTATTCCATCAACTGCCAACCACTCTACCAGCACCAGCCCTACAATTCCTGATTGCTCAGAACCTGGTGACTTCATCTTTAAAGAACAATGGGTCTGGGGCATTCTGGGGACTCCCATTGGTGGGCAGAGTAGTGGTGAGTTCACTCTTTTCAGAGCCATAGGCCTGGTAACCAGAGTGAACCTTATGGATTCTCAAAAGGAGGACCTGGGCCTTCCTGGCCGTAAGTACACCTAGTCCTTTGAGTGTGGGGGACAAACTTTCAGGGAAGATCCTCTGCATGGATGGGGTGGTGGCTGCCTGAATGGAGTGCTATGTAGTTAGTGCTATGTAGTGCTATGGGGGGGCTGGGGATATGACTCAAGCGGTAGCGCGCTCGCCTGGCATGCATGCGGCCCGGGTTCGATCCTCAGCACCACATGCTAACAAAGATGTTGTGTCAGCCAAAAACTGAAAAATAAATATTTAAAAATTCTCTCTCTCTCTCTCTCTCTCTCTCTCTCTCTCTCTCTCCTCTCCTCTCCTCTCCTCTCCCCCTCTCTTAAAAAAAAAGGCTAATGGGGACTCTTATGTGCCCTGCAAATATACCTTTGACTGAATCAGGAAATTATTAGGCATGTCTTTGATAAGGGTGGGAAAGAATGAGAGGATGAATGAGCCAAATCCAGGAGAGGAATGAGAAACAGTTCAGGCCCCAAGCTACAGCTGTCAGTCAACTTGCCTCTTTTCTTTTTTTTAACTGCCTCAGCGTGGATCCCATGGTACTTCGGATTTTGGGGGCTGTGCAGTCTGATAACTGGTGGCTGCGTCCCCTTAATACATTGGAGGAAGAACCTGAGGAGGAGGGAGCGTGCCCAGCAGTGGGTGGAGGTGATGAGAGCTGCCACATTCAGTTACAGTCCCCTGCTGTACTGGATCAACAAACGACGCAGATATGGCATGACTGCTGCGATCAGAATAGGCCCTACCAGGGCTGTTGCCAATACTGACATTCAACTCCAAATTCCGGATCTTCCATCAGGGCCGCACCCCCGCGAAGACAGGCGTCATGCCTTCAGAGGCAGCAGCCCTGAGACAGAAGCCCCTGTTTCCCTCCAACCTGCTCTGGTGGTCCCACCGCAGCCCTCACCTAATGGGATACAGAGCGCCAGACCCCATCCCCTTTCCCGATTGTCTTTCCAGAGATACCCTCTGCCCCACCCCTCCGCACCCTGAACTTTCCTCCCATGATGTCCCACTCTGCCTCCTACCCCTTTCTTGAGGGTCCTGAAAGGCAGGTCTTCTATTCCCTTCCCACACTGGCCCAAGGGGTGAACTGACCCAATGTGAATACTTTTACTTCAGGGTCATAGACTCCTCTCACTGAAAGTGAGAGATTCAGGGGCCAGGTATTAGGAGTTAACCTCAAGCATCTGATCATGACACAGAGGTCAGAGCCCATTTCGTGTTAATTAGTAAAATTTTTGAAAAGTCAGAGTCGTTTGCATCTCATTTGCCAGTAGGAAGGCAATGTCCTTCCCCGGTGTCATGGTGGCACAAGTCTCACCAATAAAATGAGAACTGGAGGCTGGCTCTGAGGAGACACATTGAGCCAATACTTGTGGATGAGCTCAATTCCCTCCATCAAGTATTCAATGTGTTCAAGACCCTGGGCTAGGTCCCCAAAGGCACTGCTCTTCTGCAGGATGGGAAGTAAAATTGCCACAAGAGTGACAGTTGCTGGGGGCACACAGCTATGCCAGTCCACAGTGACTATCCACCGGCCAAACAAGTCATCATGAGGTCAGTGAACCACACCACACTATGCGCTGACTGGGTGATACCTATGGTGTAGCCATACTTAGCTGGTTGTTTCTCTACATTATTTCTAACAGAACAACACTGCAAAATGGCTATTGTGATTTTTCTTTTACTGATGAGAAGACAGGTTCCAAGGGCTTATGCCGTTTTCTTCTTTTTTTGTTGTTATTTTCGCTGAGCCTCTTCTATTTACATATGCCTGGCAATACAGTTCCTGGTCTTTCCACCCATGGTACTAATCATGTCTTCTTAAAACATCCTTGGTGAACGAATGCTTCACTGTGTGTAGAGTGTCATCAGCTTGGTCTACAGATTTGCTTACTGGAAGGGCTGGTGGCAACTACCTAATATCATATGGAGTAACATCTGCAAAGCGTGTATCTTAAGATATCCATGGCTGCACAAAAGTTGAGTCCCCTGTCCTTCCACTACATGAGAATATTAATAATTTTTATACTTTCTGGATAAGGTCCAAAAAGGAGACACAAAGATAATTATGAGATATTTGGGTCAGTTTAAAGATAAGAAAGCCTGATTCTGTCACACAAATTTTTCCCATTTACTTTGAAAATGAGCAAACCCACTTACCATATTTCATCTAAACTTTAAATGTACATGGCCCTGAGAGAAGTGCCTGTTTTTGCCTATTTTGTGGTCTGTGGTGCATGTGATTGTGATTCTCAGAAGTTAGTAAACATGTAACTAATTTTTTATTCCTTTTTTTCCCCCTGTGTTTGGGCTGAAGGGCTTAGATCCAGCAACTGCAAAGAAAGCCTGAGTCCTATCTATGTGACCTCTAGCAATATATTTTAAGCCATTTTCTTTCTTTTTTTTTAAGTTAAGGGGAACCATTTCTTCCTTGTGTAAACATGATCTTATATTGCATCTCAAAATACAAAACAGGACTAAGCAGATCTTCTCTAGGAGAACAGAGGCAGAGGTTCACGTCTCCCTCACCTTGGCCCCTCTTCACCTTGCCCCCTTCAACCCTGCAGAGACCTAAAGTCCATGACCAATAGTCTTCACTTCTTCACACCCAAGTCTCTGATCCTGAAGGTAGATTCTAGAACACTGATTTGTGCCAATAATTACGTAGCCCCTGCTTTCAAAGGAGGATAGAAGCCATAAACATAAATCAAAGAATATTTTCTTTCTCTTAACAACCAAGGGAGTGGGGGGAGGCTTTGTAAGACACAGTGAGAGAAAAACAAAATGTTTTATTCAGATAAGTTAAAATGGCTGTCACTGATATGAAATGAAGCTCAAACTGAGTTATGAAAACCTTGAATTCACCCCCTAAACTGAACCAAAATTGCTTATATGTTACCAAAATAGCTCCACTAGAACAAAAGTAGATTTGCATTACTTCATATGAGAATACAAGTTAGAGGTTGGGTTCATATAACAAAAATTACATGCTCTATAAAATCTCTGGATACACAATTGTGTTCTGGTTTGGGTATGAAAGAAACCAAATCTGGTTGGTGTTGGTACGCAAGGCAATGAGATGCACAGCAGACAAAAAGCTGTCAATAAAATCTACTAGACAGGCCATTGACCCCATGGGAGTCAAAATTCTCCACTGTGACCAGCAGCGCCAGCACAGGGGGTTGGAGGGGTTATGTGCAGCAGTGCAAAGAAAGGAAACTGCAGTAGAATGCAAAACAGCTAGCAGCAGAGGAAGGGTGTCCACTCCTCAGCTTTGTTGCTGCAGACCCATTCCTGGGTGCCAGGTACGTTGCAGCATCTTGAAGCCAGGCACTCTATTCCTCTGCGAATTCTACAGGACCTGTTGCCTCTCTGAATAATGGAGAGGCCCTTTAATGGGGCCAGGCATATATATATAAAAGGGTCAGGAAGCAGTGATTTGGGAAACTAAAGAAAGAAGCAGTAGGAGCTGCCATGCAGAATAGCTAAAGGTTTGCAAATGAAAGTCAAACTCAGATCACTACCCAATCTTTCCCATATCACTATTGAACCTTTCTCAGAGAGCTGAGGATGTGGCAGGTGAGGCTAGAGTATAGCTCAACCAAGGACTAGATTGGGTGAGGAACCCATACAGATATAAATCCCACATTAACAATAAGTAATTGGTTTCAGGGGCTTGTAAGCTCATCTTCTTAACTATAACAAAGGAAGTTGAGATAATGACCGGTTTCTGTGAGACATGGTAGTTTCTCAGGCAGGATGACAGGGATCACAGGCCTGAGTGCAGAATGGGTGCATGTGGCAATGACCCAGCGATTTCATTCCTAGACATATATTGGGGGAAGAAAACATATCTACAAAACCCTGCACAATAATATTCACAGCAGTATTATTCCTAATAGTCCCAATGTGGAAACAATAACCAACATGTTAGTGGATAAATAAAATGGGCTGTGTCCATACAATGGAATATTACTCAATGAAGTACTGCTACATGCTACAACATGAACAGACCAAGACGACATTACACTCTTGTACAAGAAGCATACACAAGGCCACATATTATGATTTTGTTCATAGGAAACATCCCAAACCCAGCATCACACCTAAAAGACACTGCAGTCCCATTAGTAATCACTCTCACTGTCTTCTACTCTCAGCCCCCAGTAACGACTAATCTACCTTTCATCTCTATGGATTTGCCTATTTTGAACAGTTCTTATAAATTATATATAAGACGTGGCACTTTTTGTCTCAGTACAGGAACAAAATAGTGGCTCCATAAATATTTGCTGAACCAGTGGAGAAGCAGTATAGAAAGAATTTATGGTCTAGGAAAAGGTCACACAATTTTAGAGGTATGAGAAACTTTAAATGTCATCTAGTCCAAATATCTAATTTTCTAGATAAGGAAATCTAGATCCCCCAAAATCTTGGACTGACCCAGGGTTAGTCAGACATAGAGTGATAGAAGTGAGAATTAAAACACAAAAGGTTTGATTTACAATGTAGGAGTTTTTTTCCCTATATTTAAAGTTTTTGTAGACTGACTCCCCATAATAAAAGTTCCCTTTTTCTTTTACTTCATCTAATATGATGCAGTGATCAGTACCTCCTTAGGTGTAGGGCTTGCTTACTTGCTTGTGTCTAAACATGGCTGGGTCTCTTTCTGGTGTTTTAGGATGAACTTGTTTCAAGAAGAAGACCCAAATCATTTCTCAATATGACCAGGCCCCTTTCTAGTCTTCTGTTGCTACCATTGTTTCTCCCTTTGAGCAGCTGTTTTGTGGAGATCTCCTACTAAAATACAAGCCCTGCTTAATTTTTTTTGTGTTTTTTTTTTTTACACGAAGGTAATTTTTTAATCAGAGGGAGAAAAGGCCATATTTTAATACAAAACCAGATGTGACAATGCATACCAAAGAACTATAATAGTCTTTAAGATGAAGAAAGCACAATGACAGAAATCATGATACAGTACACCTCTAAGAAGCCTACAACAGACTAAGAAATAAACACACACACCTCCCCAGTACCCCCACACACATGTATGTACAGGCTATATGAGCAATGATTTTTAAAACACATTGGAAGAACAGGATGAACATACCCACGTGTGCAAATGTACACGTTTTCCTTAGAAACATAGCATGGTTTTCTTTCATTTTACTAAGCTTACAGAAATTCAATCTAGAACTATTTCATGCCTAACACATGTAAAGGAAAGGGTATAAAGTAAAATTTTGCATTTTCCTGGGAGTTGTTGATTGCATTTTTTTGGGGGGGGTTAAAATCTACATACAAATAGATGTTGTTATGATGCTTGCCATTTACTTTAATAGATTACCAAAACACTTTATACAGCACTATTTACATTACAGTAAATATGTTACACCCACAATGGTGGCCAGGGGATCAGTGCTTTCAAACTTCTCCAGTACCTACATGTGGAGATCTAAAGAGGACAATATATCCAGAAGATAAGGAATGGTTTGCTCCCCACTGACAAAGTGCTCCCTGACCAAAGAAAAGTCCCTATAGGCAGTATCTTCTGGTCAGCCACAGTCATTGTCAAGGAGTCCAAACCCTCGAGGCTCTTCACTGGACCTTGCAGGTCTCACTACTCCTGGGCTCAGGTGCAGCACCTGGGCTTGGGGCAGGACGGCCTCGCATGGCTCTCAGGCCCTCTCTGGGGTTGGCAGCCGAGCTTCTCTCAGGAAGATGATTGACAGAGATTTCGTGGTGGACTCTTGGAAGGCAGAGCCTGAACCACCTTGGCTCTGTTGAGCAACCTTGACCTTTTGTGATCTGCTGCCAAGCCCTGCTTAATTTTGAAAGCTCACAAGCTGACATCCCCAGGAAGTATGACTCTAGAGTTCACTCATTCTCAGAGAATAGCTTCTGATATGTATTGTATTGCCTTGTTCTGATGCATTATCTAAAGACTAGAAAGATATTTCACGACTATGGACTTTAGGAACAGAACTCTAAAATGACTTTTGCTTATATATTTGTTTGGATATTGGATCCACAAACATGTGAAACTCCACAGTGTATCCAAATTATACACTCCTGTTTGATGTTTTCTCCTTGACGAAGATTGATGATCTTCTTGAGAATAAAGATTTCTGTGATCCTTTGAGGAAAAAAAAAATTGACTCCAGCCTTACCACTTGAACTCCACCTCAAACACTCTATTTTATAATCATGGCACAATTACTATTTTACCCCTCCAGTTTGTGAATC